TAGCGATTCCCATTGATTCTCCCCTCCCACTGCAGACCCTTCCTGATCTCCCTATGATTCTGCTTCTGGGGATGTGCTGTCGCTCAGGAACAAAACCATTAGAGAACATAATGGCTTGCAGCAGGAGGGGGAAGCTGGAAAGTAGGGTTGCCAACTCTGGGTTGGGAAATTCCTGGAGATTTGGGGTTGGGGGTTGGGAAAGGAAGGGACCTATTTGGGGTATAATGCCATATAATTCACCCTTCAAAACAGCTATTTTCTCTGATCTGTACTGCCTGGAGATCAGTCGTAATACCAGGAGATCTCCAGGTCCCACCTGGAGGCTGGCAACCCTATCTAAGAAAGTCCAGCTTTGCAAAGACCACAGATGGTGAATATGCACCAGGGTCAGCATGAATATTCAGTTTGGTCCCCATCCAATCAGGATTCGCTGCGGTGTTGTATCATTCTGTTCAAGGTAAATATGAGAAAGGGAGGGGCAGTGATGGCCATGAATTGTCCTCACTGCACTTGCAACCCATTCCCAGGTAATCTTTCTCTTTTTCTTTTAATTTTTGCCTTTCAGCCACATGCAGCTGGCGAATACGATTGAGCAAGCAGCCAGGGCAGCCGAGGATGCTTCAAGCCAAGCGCTGGCTTTGGTGCAGTCAGTTACAAGCGGAGGAGGCGTCCTGACAAACTCTGTGCAAGGACTCCAGAAAAAGTATGCTCAAGCAAAATTTACTTTTGTTCACTTAGAAGGCACTGGGTAGTTGGCAGTCTTCATCTTCCCCTCAGTTTGCTCCAGGTCTTACCATAACCATTGTTACCTACCACCGTCAACTACTGCTAGCATTTTACTATCACTCCGCCTGTTGCTATGATGTAAGTCTTGCCTACGGAAGGAGTCCAAGAAGGTTGTATATTGCAAGGTGCACAAAGGCACACTGTCTTGCTCCCTTTGTAATGACTGATCTCACAACTTCAAGGATGGCGGCAGATCTTCCCTTTACCATGACCATGTCTTCATGCGGAAGTGGGGGCCACCATTGAGGTGAGGCTGAGACTACCCCCCTGTCCCTTGTAGCCTCAGCGTTGATCACAGATCAAGCCTTAAGAGCATAAGAAAAGCCCTGCTGGATTAGAGCGGTGGTCCACCTAGTCCAGCATCCTCTCACACAGTGGACAACCAGTTCCTCTGGAGGGCCAACAACAGGGCAGAGAGGCCTAGACCTTTTCCTGATGTTGCCTCCTGGCCAGTGCTCCCTCTAAGCTGTGGAGTCTTGTGAGCAAATATTCTACTCTGTGAGCGACTGGCATTAAAGCTGTGAGTTTAGCGATTTGGCTACTGCATAAATGAGTTTGCTCTGGAGCCATCCCCTTCCTGAGCTAAGACAAAAATGTGTGAGCCGGAGGCTAAAAAACCGTGAGCTAGCTCACACTAACTCATCTTAGAGGGAACACTGCTCCTGGCACTGAGATTCAGAGGCTGACTGCCACTGGATGTGGAGGTCCCCTCAGTCACAGTGGCTAGGAACCACTGAGAGACTTATCCTCCATGAATCTACCTAATCCCCTTTTAAAGCTGTCCATTCCTGTGGCCATCACTACATCCTCTGGCAGTGAATTCCACATTTTAATCACTCTCTGTGTAAAGAAGTATTTCCTTTTCTCCATCCTGTATCTACTGCCCATCAGTTTCATTGGATTCCCTCGAGTTCTGTTATTTTGGGAGAGGGAGGAAAACCTCTCTTTGTCTATTCCCTCCACCCTGTGTATAGTTCTATAAACCTCTATCGTATCCCCCCTTAGTCGCCTCTTTCCGAAATGGAAAAGTCCCAGACTCTTCAGCCTTTCCTCATAGGGACTGACTGCTACTGGATGTGGAGGTCCCCTCAGTCACAGTGGCTAGGAGCCACTGATAGACTTATCCTCCATGAATCGACCTAATCCCCTTTTAAAGCTGTCCATTCCTGTGGCCATTACTTCATCCTCTGGGAGCGAATTTCACATTTTAATCACTCTCTGTGTAAAGAATGTCCTTTTCTCCGTCCTGTATCTACTGCCCATCAGTTTCATTGGATGCCCTCGAGTCCTGTTATTTTGGGAGAGGGAGAAAAACCTCTCTTTGTCTATTCTCTCCACCCTATGTATAGTTCTATAAACCTCTATCGTATCCCCCCTTAGTCGCCTCTTTCCTAAATGGAAAAGTCCCAGGCTCTTCGGCCTTTCCTCATAGGGAAGGTGCTCCAGCCCCCTAATCACCTTGGTTGCCCTTCTCTGTACTTTTTTCCAGCTCTGCAATGCCCTTTTGGAGATATGGTGACCAGAACTGTGTGCAGTATTCCAAATGAGGCTGCGCCATAGATCTATGCAGGGGCACTATAATACCATCTGTTTTATGTTCAATCCCTTTCCCAATTAACTTCCTAATAATCCCTAATCTGTGTAGCCTGGAGTTGTGTTGATCTATCTGATCGGTCCTGCATTTATCCAGCTCTTCTTCCAAGAAGCTCAGGGTGGCACACATAGATCTCCCCTCCTCCATTTGATCCTCACAATAGCCTAGGGGCATAGATTAAGCTGAGTGTGTGAGACTGGTCCAACGTTATCCAACTGGCTTCATATTCCATTGGGGACTGGAACCCCAGGTCTCCCACGTCCCACTCGGATTGTTCAGTCACTCTTGGCCATGCTACAATGTGAGGTAATATTGGGAGAATGTTGGCATTGATATAGGGACATTATTGTGGGTAGGGTCTTGGTCTTGGACTCTCCAGGGACCCATTAACTGTACAATTGTGTGGCTGAAATGGAAAAATGTGAATTTGAGTGTACCAAGATGGTGAAACTAATGAATTGCATCTGGTCAGCGATATTGAATGCTCTGCTAACTTCACAGAAAACTGGCCTTATTTGTTATTCCGCTAAAGGAAATGTTTAACGAAGGTGAACCACATTTTTTTTCTTTACAGTAAATTATTATTATGCTTTGCTTCAGTTCTGATTGTAGACTTCCGGTTGGTTCTACAGCCCTAATTCCTATTGCATTGCTTATTGAATGTCCCATCTGTCAATTGTTTTGACTCACTTTGCATAATCCGCCTTGAGTCCAAGTGAGAAAGGTGGATTATAAATAGTGTACATAAAAATGAATGGTGGGGCGCTTGGGGGCGAAGCCCCACCACCCATGCACTCTGCCCCACCATTTGATGATGCCAGGCACCCCCACCCCAGTGTGCCTAGCCCCGCAGCGGCAGCAAGGCTGGGGAAAGAAAGGGAAGCTGCTCCTGGTCACTCTCAGTCCTTCCAATCAGTTGTTAGGTTTAGCAGCTGATTGGAGGGAGTGAAACTGACCAGAAGAGGCAGAGCGGCTTCCCTTTCTTTCCCCAGCCTCCCCACAGCTGCTGGGAGCTGGGAAAGGAAAGGAAAGCTGCCCTGCAGCTTTTGGTCAGTTTCACTCCCTCCTATCAGCTGTTAAACCTAACAGCTGTTCCTCCAGTGTGAAACTGACTGGAAGAGGCAGGGCAGCTTTCCTTCCCTTCCCCAGTCTCCCCACTGTGGTGGTGGTGGGGGTCTGGGGAAAGAAAGAGAGAAGGCATGGTGATGGTGGCGGGGAAGCCAATCTCTCTCCCTCCCATAACTTTCCATGGTGGGGGTGGGGTTTTTGATGGTGGTGGGGGAAGCCAGTGTCTCTCTCCTGGGGTTGCCAATCTCCCCAGCTCTGCTCCCTAAGAACATAAGAGAAGCCAATGTTGGATCAGGCCAAAGGCCCATCCAGTCTAACACTGTCACACATGGCCAAAAATACCAGGTGCCAGCAGGGGGACCAGCAGGGGGGCCAGGACAGTAGAAGCCATCCCACTGTTGCCCCCCTCCAAGCACCAAGAATACAGAGCATCCCTTGCCCCTGCCTGAGAGTTCCTATCTATACCTTGTGGCTAATAGCCACTGATGGACTTCTATTCCATATGTTAATCTAATTCCCTCTTGAAGCTGTCCATGCTTGTAGCCGCCGCCACCTCCTGTGGCAGTGAATTCCATGGGTTAATCATTCTTTGGGTGAAGAAGTACTTCCTTTTACCTTTTCTAACCCGACTGCTCAGCAATCTCATTGAGTGCCCACGAGTTCTTGTATTGTGGGAAAGGAAGAAAAGTCCGAGGCCTTTAAAAAAATAGCAATTGACGTGTTATAGTGCTATAACAATCTGTTTCCAAAGGGCTCTGAATCCCCAGCCTTCTTTTTATAAAAATAAAAGTAAGCCTCTAGTCCCTTTTGTCGCAGAGGTATACCTTTCTTCTTATACCTCTTTAAAAAGGGGAGGTCACGGCTGCTTTTTAAAGTGAAAGCTGCGAATTCAGAGGACCTGAAAGATGGATAGCTATAACATTATAATGCTATAAGAATGTAAATTGCCAATTTAAAAGAACACTAAAATCCCCCAGTGACACAGGAGGGAATGGCCACCACAGAAGACGGGGGCAGGGGAAAAGCAGAGGAGCCTGCCATGTTGCTTGCCACTGTGCTTTACTGGTAATAGCCAGGGCTCTTTTTGTAGCAGGAACTCATTTGCATATTAAGTGGCACACCCCTAATGCAGCCAAGCCCCTGTAAGAAGAGCTCTGTAAGTTCTTGGAGGATTGGCTACATTAGGGGTCTGTGGCCTAATATGCAAAGGAGTTCCTGCTACAAAAAGAGCCCTGAGTGAAACAGTCTCGGGGCGGAAAACACCCACAACATTAGGTTCTGTGGTCGGAACCTCGAGTGTGTCAGAGCTGCTTCTGGCTGGACTCACGGACTCCGTAGTCTGCTGGCTGCTCCATACAAAAGCGCACGAGAAGGATCCTGGCAATTCCTGTGTGGCTTCTGGGGCCCCTTGGGGGAGATGACTTGGCCTCTGGGGAAATGACAGAAAGTGGGGTTCCATCCCTTTCACAACATGGAACGCAAAGTCAAGCTGGGGGTACCCAGAAGGTCTACAGGTCATTCGTAAAGATCGTGGCAAGAATACCTTGGCTAGATGCAGCCAGGGCAGATCATCTAAACTCCATAACTTTCTTTGACCCCTGCCCCATTTATATGTTATGTAGGTGGTGTGATGACTGGCGGCGGGGGTGGGGGAAATCTCACACTTCCGGGCTCAAAATCATCTTCTCGTTTTTCAGGTATGATGAGGTGAAGTTGCTGTCCAGTGAACTGGAGGCTGAGGCCAACAGAGCTGCTTCGAGCACTGACCAGGCCTACCAAAGCAGCCAGCTGCTCTTCAGCTCCCTGGCTCGTTTACCAAAAGTTGACACGAGCGCCTTTCAGGTAAGGACTCTGCACGTGTGTGTGTGTGTGTGTGTGTGTGTGTGTGTGCTTGGTCCCCAGAATTGTTAGAAACTTTGAAGGCAGTGGGAAAAGAGAGAGACCCAACATGAGACGGATTGACTGACTAAAGGAGACCGTGACCTTCATTTTGCAGGACCTCAACAAAGATGTTTTGGAGGTCATTCGTTTATAGGATCACCATAAGTCGGAAATGGCTTGATAGCACATAACACACAGTCATTTGATGGCATGTAACACATAGTCACTAGTTGCTTTCTACGGTACCGTTTCTTTCCCTGTCCTTTGCAAGAGGAAGAAGGCCTATTTTGCTACCAACCATTCCCAAACTGCACTGTTTCTTACAGGATTTGGGCTAGTAAGCAGTGCCCCCCTGGGCCAAATCTGACTCCTTTCCCCCATGCCAGTGTCCGGACCCATAAAGAGTAGATTGGAACCATCCATAGCAGTAGGATTTAGCAACAGGACAATTTGGGAAGCAGGAGTGGGATCCGGACTCTGTCTCTTCCTTCTCAGAGTGGCCAATGACCAAGTCTCAGTGTTGACCAGAGCTGTTCCATGTGGCTCAGACCTATTCGTCATGGAGGTGGCAGTCCTGTGTTTGGCTGCAGGTGAATCTGATGTGGTTGAAAAGATCCTCCCTGCAAAATGGTTCCATCCACACATTAAAAAAGGGTCTTAGTCTAGTCTCTCCCCCACCCCAACATGCTTGTGTTCTGTTTGTAAAAAGATGTTTTATACTGAAGAGCATTCAGTCATCCCCTCCCACCTGCCATATGAAGTGAGACAACTCCAGGGTGGATTGCCCATTTGTGGGAGGCCCAGTCTATTACACCATTGTGCAGGAGATCTGGTTGGATCTTCCAACAGTATTTTTTTTAACAGAAAAGGAAGTCTCAAAGGGTGCAGCCAATTTGCTGAATGAGGGGAGGATGCATTTTTAATTGCTTTATTGCTTGACAGTTTCTCTCTTCCCCTCCAAACACAGTCACCACTCACCACCGACTATGAACGATTTCTGTCCTGCATGCTGTGTGTTCCTTAACCTGTCCTAATATTGTTTCAGGAGTCATGCTTCCCTAAAAGTGACCTTTTGACACCTTTGAAACAAACGAGTTCCAGTTTCCATCAGGTGCACCTCTGAAATGAGACAGGTGGCAGTAGAAACCTACCTGAGCACTATAGTCATCTTTTGAGGCCCAGCTTCTGGTGCAATTGCCTTCTGAGATTGGGTGGGTGGGTGGCACCCCAGGAGAGGGCCTTCTTGGTCCTGGCACCAAACTCTAGAACTCTCCCCCCAGGGAGACTTGTCTGTCCCATTCTGTTGCCATCTTCCACCAGTGGGTGAAGCCTTTTTTGTTTCACTTGGCATTCCCTCAGTGATCCCTCTTCCTGCCCGCTATTTTAATTGTTGTTTTTATGGTTTTGTATGTGTCTTTTAGCTTCGGTTTTACTTGTTTTAATGATGACTGTTTTTAAGATGTGTTTTTATTATGTATATTTTTCGCCTGTCAGCTGCCTGGGGGGCCCAGATGAGAGGGGGCCCAGAAAGGCATGATACAATTTTTGTAAATAAATAATAGAAAGGAGCAGTTCTTTGGACCAGCAGAAGTGGCACTAAGCAAAGTCATGTTTTCCCCCCCATTTTGACGTCTTAGGAGGAAGCCAAGCAGCTCCGGCAGAAGGCGGACTCTTTAGCAGGCCTGGTGGAAATTTACATGATGGAATATAAGCAGATGCAAAGCAACATGGGGAACAAAGAAGATGAGATCAAAGAGCTCTTGCAGAAAGGACAAGATGACAGACTGGTAAAGTGAATCCATATTAATGGCCTGGAAAGTGTTGGTAGGCAGTGTCGGTGGGATCTGTAACAGCCTGACCCATTCAGAAGGGCCCCTTCAGCCAGAGGCTCATGTATTTCTAAGCTGAAGTTAGTGGCACACATTTTTAGGGATGAAGACAAGAAACATACCCCTCCAAGTGACCTCTAAATATCTTGAATGGGGTCAAGCCTGTATTTTCTCCATGAAGTAGCTCAAGGACTGAATCACATGATACTACATAAGCACTGAGAGTTCTGTGCCTCCCAGGGGCAAGGAGGCCGTATTCTGACTGAGGCAGTGGCATGCATAAAGGCCTTCAGCCTTTCCCCTGTGCTGCTTTTGTGAATGGAAATGGCTGCAAGAAGCTTTATTTCCTCTGCTGGGAAGCTTATGTGCAGCCATCATTACACACAAGCTTTCTCAGCAGAGGAAACACCAGCTCCCAGGAGCTGTTTCAGTTTACAAAAACAGCCTGGGCGGAAGGCTGAAACCCCTTGTCCATGTACACTGTGGTCACAATTAGAATACAGCTCCCCTTGCTCCCAGGAGGCATTGAACTCCAAGGTTATGTAGCACATAACACACAGTCATTTGATGGCATGTAACACATAGTCACTAGTTGCTTTCTACGGTACCGTTTCTTTCCCTGTCCTTTGCAAGAGGAAGAAGGCCTATTTTGCTACCAACCATTCCCAAACTGCACTGTTTCTTACAGGATTTGGGCTAGTAAGCAGTGCCCCCCTGGGCCAAATCTGACTCCTTTCCCCCATGCCAGTGTCCGGACCCATAAAGAGTAGATTGGAACCATCCATAGCAGTAGGATTTAGCAACAGGACAATTTGGGAAGCAGGAGTGGGATCCGGACTCTGTCTCTTCCTTCTCAGAGTGGCCAATGACCAAGTCTCAGTGTTGACCAGAGCTGTTCCATGTGGCTCAGACCTATTCGTCATGGAGGTGGCAGTCCTGTGTTTGGCTGCAGGTGAATCTGATGTGGTTGAAAAGATCCTCCCTGCAAAATGGTTCCATCCACACATTAAAAAAGGGTCTTAGTCTAGTCTCTCCCCCACCCCAACATGCTTGTGTTCTGTTTGTAAAAAGATGTTTTATACTGAAGAGCATTCAGTCATCCCCTCCCACCTGCCATATGAAGTGAGACAACTCCAGGGTGGGTTGCCCATTTGTGGGAGGCTCAGTCTATTACACCATTGTGCAGGAGATCTGGTTGGATCTTCCAACAGTATTTTTTTAACAGAAAAGGAAGTCTCAAAGGGTGCAGCCAATTTGCTGAATGAGGGGAGGATGCATTTTTAATTGCTTTATTGCTTGACAGTTTCTCTCTTCCCCTCCAAACACAGTCACCACTCACCACCGACTATGAACGATTTCTGTCCTGCATGCTGTGTGTTCCTTAACCTGTCCTAATATTGTTTCAGGAGTCATGCTTCCCTAAAAGTGACCTTTTGACACCTTTGAAACAAACGAGTTCCAGTTTCCATCAGGTGCACCTCTGAAATGAGACAGGTGGCAGTAGAAACCTACCTGAGCACTATAGTCATCTTTTGAGGCCCAGCTTCTGGTGCAATTGCCTTCTGAGATTGGGTGGGTGGGTGGCACCCCAGGAGAGGGCCTTCTTGGTCCTGGCACCAAACTCTAGAACTCTCCCCCCAGGGAGACTTGTCTGTCCCATTCTGTTGCCGTCTTCCACCAGTGGGTGAAGCCTTTTTTGTTTCACTTGGCATTCCCTCAGTGATCCCTCTTCCTGCCCGCTATTTTAATTGTTGTTTTTATGGTTTTGTATGTGTCTTTTAGCTTCGGTTTTACTTGTTTTAATGATGACTGTTTTTAAGATGTGTTTTTATTATGTATATTTTTCGCCTGTCAGCTGCCTGGGGGGCCCAGATGAGAGGGGGCCCAGAAAGGCATGATACAATTTTTGTAAATAAATAATAGAAAGGAGCAGTTCTTTGGACCAGCAGAAGTGGCACTAAGCAAAGTCATGTTTTCCCCCCCATTTTGACGTCTTAGGAGGAAGCCAAGCAGCTCCGGCAGAAGGCGGACTCTTTAGCAGGCCTGGTGGAAATTTACATGATGGAATATAAGCAGATGCAAAGCAACATGGGGAACAAAGAAGATGAGATCAAAGAGCTCTTGCAGAAAGGACAAGATGACAGACTGGTAAAGTGAATCCATATTAATGACCTGGAACGTGTTGGTAGGCAGTGTCGGTGGGATCTGTAACAGCCTGACCCATTCAGAAGGGCCCCTTCAGCCGGATGCTCATGTATTTCTAAGCTGAAGTTAGTGGCACACATTTTTAGGGATGAAGACAAGAAACATACCCCTCCAAGTGACCTCTAAATATCTTGAATGGGGTCAAGCCTGTATTTTCTCCATGAAGTAGCTCAAGGACTGAATCACATGATACTACATAAGCACTGAGAGTTCTGTGCCTCCCAGGGGCAAGGAGGCCGTATTCTGACTGAGGCAGTGGCATGCATAAAGGCCTTCAGCCTTTCCCCTGTGCTGCTTTTGTGAATGGAAATGGCTGCAAGAAGCTTTATTTCCTCTGCTGGGAAGCTTATGTGCAGCCATCATTACACACAAGCTTTCTCAGCAGAGGAAACACCAGCTCCCTGGAGCTGTTTCAGTTTACAGAAACAGCCTGGGTGGAAGGCTGAAACCCCTTGTCCATGTACACTGTGGTCACAATTAGAATACAGCTCCCCTTGCTCCCAGGAGGCATTGAACTCCAAGGTTATGTGGCAGCCATGACAATAGTGTATTCCTTTCCTTTTATACCTTTAGAAGCTCGTTGAGTCACAGATCTTGAGCAGTAGAAGATACTTGCTTCTTACTTTTTTGATGCAAGGGCTAAAAGGACTGAGACAAATTTTGCAGTTGCCAGAGTAAACAATAGGATCCTTATCGCTGAGCAAAAGAGCCAGGGTTTCCAGAGTGTAGGGGGACGGTTGGTTGATTAAAGGCTTAATATAGTGATCCCTTATATTCTCAAAGAAACTGCATTTCGCAGGGCATGGAAAGATGTGTCTATCCTATTAAGGCCACAAGGGCAGATTCAGTCAGAATAGGGCTTATTAAAAAATCTCCCCTGAAAAACCATTGTAGGAATAATATTCAATCTTGCAAACAAAAAAGCTTTACAGTAACGTGGGATGGTAAGATAGTAGATATGGGGGGTAAAGATCTTGGGGAAAACCAAAAGATAGGGGTGAGCAAACTCTGTAAGCTCTCAGGATCAGGCTACTACAATCGACTTCTAGGACACGCTTTTTGATCAGAGAAAATGCTTTGAATTTGCCCATCTCAAAAATATAATTAATCAAGATTCCAACTATCATAAATTTCTCATCCAGGGCTTTCATCAAGTCGATTTGTGGGTATCTCGATTTAAAGCAGCTGACAAACCATTTTCAGCACAGAGCTGTTTGAATCTCAGTTCGAAGGCATAAAGCCATGCTCTGGCTTCCAAGGATATCTGTCTGAATTCTGCCCACAGTACAACGTTGTATCGTGTGCACTATGGGAACCCCTCTGTTTGTTCCATGCATATGATTCAGGCTTGGATCTGTAGATGGTACTGGGTCCTCAGAGCTTTTGTTCTTAGCCCCCGAATACAGATCCTCCCCTGTACAGCAGAACTGGTTGACTGTGAGTTCTGGGAGTTGGGCCTGTGTTTTCATGCTCCATGTTATGTGTGTTCTTTTGTTCTCCTGCCATTGCAGGCGTCAGTCCAACTGTTGTCTCGTGCCAGCCTTGCCAAGAGTATAGCCCAGAAGGCACTGAATGCTGGCAATGCCTCTTTAGAGGAAGTTGATGGCATCTTGAGGAACCTGAGGGGTGAGTGCCTTAAAAAAACAGGTGTACTTAGAGGTCTATTGCAAATGTTCCCTGGCCTGGCGAGTTCCATGAGGGGCAAGGCTTGAAACCACAGATAGTGTTCACACCCAGCACTTAACAAAAATAAGATCTAATTCTCTGTCAATAAAATGTTGCAACTTAAATAACGTAGATCTGAAAAAGATTTGCAAATAGGCGTTTGTCCAAATGAAGTCAAGTATGCATGCTATATTCTGATCCGGATGCAGGTACATACATAAGTGCTTGTGTGTGTCTGGAATCGTGTACTAATGTACACACAGAGTGGGATGTTTTCATTGTAATTAGAAGTTGTTGACTCAGGCACATTCACTGAGTAATGCACTATTTGATCTGCTGCTGTAAATTGTTTTTCGGGTGTTTGCAGACAGCTTTGAACTTTGATTGTCACCACGCTGATTTTTAATCTTAAACATTTTTCATACCGTGTTTTTAATTGATTGTTATCGGTCTGGATTTGTTTTAAAGAGGGGATAGTGGTAAGTAAGGTTGCTGGCACAAGGCTGACAGTCGGTGGGAGGAGCCTCACCGGTGATGTAAAGAGGTCCCTGGCGATGCACCGTTGTCACTTCCGGGGCACGGAGAGCGATGTCAGCGTGTTGGCATGCCTCCCAGTTTCCAGCTCATTTCCCACCCCCCACCCTGCTGAGTGTTGTAAAATAGTCAAAAGTATATGAAATACTCAGAGTATCAATGGCTCTTGCTCTATTGGAAAGAAGATATTTCTTTGCTTTTAAAAACCTTTATTTCTAAGGGTAAAAGGTATATAGGGAACCTACAAAATAACAAAACATCTAACAGCTACATTTTCTACTGCTTACTTCTCAAAACATAGTCACACACTAAGACACAGATAATGGAGAATCTGTCCTTCTTCTCAACCCCTAGAAAGGAAGTCACCTGAAAACAAACAACCAATCTGTATCACAATAGAAGCTACTTTTCCCGGGCTAATTCCCCATTGGCTAAGTGCCAGGTATCCCTTCCAGGTCAGTCTAAACAATAGCAATACTAGGTAAACAAGTTAACCCTATAATGACTGGATTGTCAGACCTTGTAAATACATATGTTTCCAACACTGAGCAGTGGTGTGAAGCACCCACTGGCAGTGG